CGTATGCGTACGGGCATGAGAAAATTGAACGAAGAACATAGGTGTATATATACAATGTCACAGAACCAAAGAAAGTTTGAGGCTATTTACTACAGCCCGCGTGGGTACTGGAAAGGAGCTAGCGCCGTACATAAGCTGGCCAAATGGCCCGAGTACCCCCGGATGAGGCCAAAGCGTGGCTTGAAAAACAAGCCCTGTGGCAGATCTATTTATCGGCACCACGCTACGTGCCCCGAAGAAAGTTCGGCATTACCCTACCCAATAGCGTCCACCAGGCCGACCTCCTGTTCCTACCCCGAGACAAGAGGCACAAATATGCCCTAACCGTCGTTGACGTTTCCAGCCGCTACAAGGAAGCCGAACCCTTGACTGCGAAGGATGCGGCCCAAGTAGCCCGCGGATTCGAACGCATATACAAATGCAGTCCGTTGACATGGCCCACAGAGCTGCAAGTCGACCCTGGGCGGGAGTTCATGGGTGCCGTGTCACAACTGCTAGCCAAACACGATACCAAGGTCAGGTGTGGCGCGGCCGGAGCCCATCGCAGCCAAGCCATAGTCGAGAGATTCAATCGGACTTTGACCGAGCGCTTATTTGGACACCAGTATGCGAGAGAGATGGTCAACCCAGAAAAACGATCGACGGAATGGGTATCGCGGCTACATCAGGTGGTGTCGGCTATCAACCACCAAACCACCCGTCTCACCGGCAAGAAACCAGCCGATGCTATCAAACTGAAATCAGTGATAGCCGAACCGGTTGCACCATTGCGTAGGAAGGAGAAACAGATACCCGATAGGGCCCTCGTGAGGTACCTCTACCAGCCGGGGGAACACGAAGGGGACACTCGGAAACGAGCCACCCATCCGATATGGTCAGTCAAAACTTACAACATAGATAAAGTGGACATCAAAGCTGACGAGCCGAACTTGTACTACTTGAGAGATGGGCCAGGGAGACGTTTCGTTAGAGAGGAATTATTAGTCATACCGTACGGCACAATGTTACCCCCCAAGCAAAATATTTAACACTTACCTTGTCGGGTAATCTTAATGGTATCCTGTCAACACGACATAGAGTGATCAGGAAAGTGCTAGTTCGCGGTCATAGTGACCTGGAAGTTAACTGGGGATTCAAAAGTAGTATATACGATGGCGGCGAGATCTAAGGGCCTGACAAAAGCTTTTGTTGGACTTGATCTCGGACAATCATTGTATATACTACTACGTTTGCTCTCTTTTAAAAAAAAAATTCAGCACATTCTAATTAAACGTTTAGCATCATCTGAATAAGCTTTCATGATGACAGCTAGAAGCAGTCAATGTGAATGATCCAAACGGTCTATCACTGTGCAGTGCACAGGTAACTATCATGAACTGCACGTGCATTTACCTTTCTGACCCAACACTGCCGCTGTTACAGGTCATTGGCTCCCTCCCTCTGCAAGCAGTCTCCTTTCTGCTGTTTATTTTGTTGACAGTTACATAGACAGATTCTTTAATACAAATGCATACAATCGGTGATTTACAATGTGATTAGGTTGTCTGACAAAACATCCACTTGCACAGTTTGAGATCGATTGGATCATTGGATGATGGGATATTTACAAAAAAACGGGCCCACATGCATTTCATGCCAAGTTATAGTACCTGTTTGGCCGAATCTGGGTGAAAGATAAAGTTCTACAATACGTTGTTCGCGTTAGGAGTGAGCAATGTACAAATGACACCTCACAAGACAACAATGCTGAGCACTGGCTGCAACGCAGTAGTATCACGATGTACAGGTGGTCCCATTGTGCTCTATGAGAAGATTCACAGACATTGTTACCACTTACCCCCTTGACCCACTGTAACATCCACCAACATGTTATCCGTATTGACTCTGTTGACGGAGGTGACATGATTCCCTTGACAGTATTGTGGAGAGACGAGAAAGAGCCAGTGTATAATGAAGATTCCATAATTGTCTTATTTGTTATGCCATCACTTATTAAGTGTACATGTGCGCAGCATAGACATACATAGTTCGGTTTCACAGTCCTAATATGATTTTCGCGAAATATAAAAAACAACACCAAGGCGACGTGTCAGCCAATCTTATATCTCAAACATTACCATATTAAGCTAATTTGGATAATTGGAATATTCAGACGATATCTATTTCTGTAATGATTTGGACATAATGATATAGTGCCATAATTAGGTCATTCTACAAATGCAACTTCTTCACTTTCAAATGTGCCTTGTCCTCAGGGTTTCAGTGATCCAAAATACACGAGAATCCTATTCCATACATTTTAACATTCTCATCACAACATGAACTGCGGCACTGGGACTGTTTTAACATGTGTGACACGAGTTCATGATAATCAAAACAGCACAAATATAGCAACTTCTTTGCCATCATTTTTTTGGGATGAAATGAAAAACATGAAAAAAGTCCTGGCCCAGATGGCTTTACTTCGGAATTTCAAAAATTCTTCTGGAAAGATCTGGGCTCTTTTCTGCTAAAACCGCTAAATTATGGATATAATAAAGGCAACTTGTCAGTCACCCAAAAGCAAGGCCTTATAACGTATATCCCTAAGGGAAATAAGCCTAAGAAATTCCTTAAAAATTGGCGACCAATATCACTATTGAACACTTCCTATAAAATTGGTTCAGCAGCAATAGCTAATAGATTTAAAAGAGTTCTGCCAAGTAGTATTAATGAAGATCAAAAAGGCTTTATTAAAGGGAGATTCACAGGTGAAGTTACTAGATTGATTTATGATCTAATGGAACACACAGAGACCTATCAGATACCAGGACTACTTTTATCAGTAGACTTTGAAAAAACATTCGACTCAGTTGATAGAAATTATTTGATACATGTCCTATCGTTTTTTAACTTTGGTTCAAGCATTGTTAGATGGATTAAGACTTTTTATAATGATATATAATCTAGGATTATGGTCAATGGTTTTGCTAGACAACCTTTTATGATTTAGCGCGGGTGTCGCCAAGGCGATCCTGTTGCACCGTACTTGTTTATTCTTTGTGTGGAAATATTACGTATAATGCTACGTAACAATGATAAAATTAAAGGACTTAGTATCGGTAACATAGAATATATTCTGTCGAAATTTGCTGATGACACTACTCTTTCGTTAGATGGATCCGAAAAATATCTCTATGCAGTTCTGTACGTCTTGCAAATATTTGCTCGCTTTTCTGGTTTACAGGTAAACGTTGACATGACAAAACTCATTTGGATTGGTTCAAAGAAGAGATCACGTTACAAACTATGTAAAGAATACAACTTTGATTGGTCTCAAACAGATTTTAGTCTTCTAGGAATTAACTTTAATATTGATCTTGAAACCATGATTGAAGATAATTATAGGGACAAAACTGCAAAAATCGAAAAACAAATGAATATTTGGTCAACGCGTTCGTTATCTCCTTTTGGGAGAAATTCTATTTTAAAATCCCTTCTACTTTCAGAGTTAAATCATCTATTCTCAGCCCTTCCCAATCGACCAAAATCACTACTCGATAAATTACAAACAACATGTTTCAGATTTATATGGAATAATAAGCTGGATAAAGTAAAAAGAGACATAATCACTTTAAAGGGTACCAGATGTACAAAATGTAATTTATGCTCAAAAACTTAAATTGATAAGTCGACTTAGTCCATATTCCATATACCTAGTCCATATTCCATCTGGTCTGGTAATTCAAAGCAAATTAAAGAAATATGTATTCCAAATTTATCCAATAGATTTTGGAAAGATGTTTTTACTGTTTGGGAAGTCTTTCTTGAAAATATGAATCATATATATTATTAGAAAACCAAATTAAAAGTCAAACTATCTGGGGTAACTGTAACAATACTATTGATGACAAACCGATAATGTATGAAACTTGAAGACTAAAGGTATAGTTTTTGTAAATGATATTATACATGAGGAAGGTAGGTTATTAACATTCGAAGAATGTTCGAACAAATATCAAATAAGAACCAATTTTCTAACCTTTGAAGGAATCAAAGCAGCAGTAAGGTCATACGCACACAAACATAAAATTTACGAATTTTCAGAACCGTTGCAAAATCCCATCTTTCCCTTTAATTACCAATCATTAAATAATTCTGCGGGAAATAGACATTTATATAATACTCTTTTGAATTCATCCTTCATCGTGCTACCATGCCATTCCAAAATGGAACGTATTTTAGACAGATATTTCACTGACAATCATTATCCCAAACAAATGTACTATAAGTACTGAATTTGGGTGGTTACAATATAGGATTATCCACAACATTTTACCAACAAAATCTTTTCTTTATAAAATAAAATACATAGAATCACCACTTTGATCCTTTTGCCAAAAAGATCTAGAAACTACTGACCACCTCTTTTGGAAATGTTAAAATGTAAAGAAAATATGGAACGAAGTAACAAAATGGCTTCATGCTGTTCAACTATCAGTAAATTTTACGTTTGAAAAGGTTTTGTTTGGAATTAAAGGTGAAAATAATAAACCTATTAATGTAATCATCCTTCTAGTCAAACAAAGCATATTCAAATGTGCTACTGAAAACTAGTTGCCTAATATCAATTTTATTAAAAAAGAAGTTATTAAATATTATGATGCTACCAAATATCTCCATTTATCAAATGGTACTGAACAAATGTTGTTTTTTACAATTCTGGTCAACGTTACACTTGTCCTTAGGATAGATCTATATTAATCTATAATACTGTGTACATGTTTTTACATATTGTGTACCTCAGATGATTTACCATGTACTGTTTGCTGCCTACCTGTATGATCCTATAATGTATGCCTGTAAAAAATATTGAAAATAAAAAGAAATAAAAAACACTTTTTTGCCATCACATTCAACGCCTTTACCGACCTATGCCATTATTCACCGTTTTCTTTGTGATTTGATTTTTTGGGTTAACTTAACCTTCAGTACTCTTACTCTACTGTGTCCGTTGACAGATGCCGATATACACACCGAAGATGAAACCAGCCGTAAGTAATCAAGCAATGCAAGACGTCTTGATTTACATAGACTGTTCCTATATATCACCGTTTGCTTTAAAATTGCCCTACTTTATCGCATGAGAATATTCTACTTTAAATAACTTCAGTAACCCATGCTTGTGGTAAGAGGCGACTAACGGGATCGGGTGGTCAAGCTCGCTGACTTGGTTGAGTCATCGGTTCCCAATTGCGCAGATTGATGCTCATGCTGTTGATCACTGGATTGTCTGGTCCAGACTCGATTATTGTCAGATCGCCGCCATATAGCTGGAATATTGCTGAGTGCGGCGTAAAACTCAACTCAACTCACTCAATTTATTAGTAGACAGGCACTACAAAACCGGCATAAGTACATATGGTTGTAAAATGCTTTCCTGTTGCAGGTTGCGGCCTTTCAAGACCTGAATGGTAAATGAGTTCTTGCATCTTCAGTGTCAGTGAATTCATTATTTCATCTTGGAGGTAAAGTTAACAGTGAAACATGTTACTACGACATGGCACAACACTAGTGGGAACAGAAGGCTGCTTAATGTCCGTGATGAAAAAACAAAAAATGCAACCGAGAAATTTGGTCGGGCTTTCATTCGCCGTGAAATAACAAAACGAATAACACGGAAAAAGAACACAAGCATAGTATTACTGACAGAGAACCTTAAGGTCTGTAATTAGCGAAACCCAAATTTGATCACTGACAATTCCGGGTACATGTACAAAAATTGTCTCGATTCTCACAAACTGAGGTTATGTAGTGAATAAATAAAAAAATCTTTGGCTTATGCAACCAATATTATTCATAAATGCCTTCTCTGCCTGCTCATGTGGATAAAACGGGAACACTGTCTCATCAGGTAGAGTGTTTCATTTTGACCAACGATGTGTAAGTGTAATCAAAGTTGGTTATTTACAGGCTTTAATGACAGGTCAAAGTATCTAATGTGATTATGTGTTGTTGAAACAGTGACGCCGCTTACGAAACGATTGAACATAGAAAAGGACTGCAGCCTCTACAAAGTTCAAGCTTCTATGCCGCTTACGAAACGATCAAACATAAAACAAGACGGCAGACTCTACACAGTCCCAGTTACTCTAACGGAAGAACGATATCTACTAGTCATGGAGACATCATGACAACAGATAACAGCCTTGACTCATCCCTCTCCACTCCAGCGATTGTTGATGCCGCAAGACACAGGAGGCCTTCCAATGAAAATGAAACTGGCAGACGTTCCAGCAGTGCAGTCGGTAGGGCATGGGAGACACCAGCCCCTCGGCAAAAACCTACAGCTGAGAATGATTCCACAAGCTTGGATTCTGATGACCTATATGCATCTGGTTCGTCTGCTTTGAAGGGAAGAGCAATGCAAAAAATGCTGCCCACGGATGATGATGTGTATGGCGTAATCGATGGCCATGTTCCGCGGAAAGGTAAGAATGGAAAGAAGAGGAACAGATCGAAATCGAGGGATTCACGTACAAGTTCCCGGTCCGGATATCCCGTGCTGTATGATCCTCGCATTTTTAGATCCATGGAGGATTAATTGTAACGACGGTTGCAATAGGCAAGGTTTGAATTCATCCGAAAGGGAAACAAGCGATTAAATCTTAGGGACTGTTGAAGCTAAAACCTAATATGTAAATATAGAAAAATGACGATGTGTGAATATGAGGTAAACATCCTCCTCATACAACACGGCAACTGTGTGAATAATACTTCGTGATTCTGTGTAAGTCATTATCAACGTATACTTATTTCCTGCATATTTCCATTTTCTGAAACGTAAATGTGAGAAAGCTCACAGAACCTCAACATACAAATAAATGGTAGGGACAATTTTGTGTTTCTATTTGGCAATAGGAGTCTCCCTGCACCCTGCTGTCAGTATCCTGAAAATAAGTCTTCTGACTGGTCGCTAATATACGAAGTTTCTGCAGCAGTTCTGATGAGTTCGTCATCATTGAAAAATCTGGTTCGACGCGGGTGTGACTTCAAATTTCGAAACATGTGAGATTTGCCATGTGCCTATTTTAGGCTTCACTCCACTCGTTGATGATGAGGAGTATTAGACATGTGTAAATGGTCAAGATTATATTACAAACACTTCAATGGCTTTTCCCATATTCACAAGCTATTTTTCTCAAATTAGACATCATTAACACCTCCACTATTGCGATGATATCATTTGGGATATTTGTCATGCATTCATGAATTTTGGTCGCGTTGACTCCCTCTTTGGTGAGAAACATTATCACTGCTCTGTTCTCATTTGTTGTTTTCCATGATTTCAATAGGGTACCTCGAATAACACTTGAATAACAATATCGAAAGGTGCGAGATGCTTGAACGTTCGTTGCTAATTCATCAATAATCCAAGTGTGAAAACTCAATATCAACACAGCTGTCTTGTAAATGTAAGTAGTGAGTAGGAAGCTTTTGACCGCCCCTCATTAGAAGATGGCTTGTGAACGTTTCATTTTTCAGTTCCAAGACAAGTGAAGCAACTCATGCTTACGTTACTTTCGAGTGACCTTTGTTACATACAAAGAAAAATGTAGCTTTTTTTAGAATAATAACAACCGTTACGATAATAATATACCTCTCTCTACGATATTTTTAATTCTAATCTGCAAAAGCATAATACAATTATGTTGTATTTCATCTTAATCTGTGAAAACTATGTTGCTTTATCATCACTACGCATTAGCTATATAACCGGAGTTTTCTGTCAGTCTTTTGTATTCAAGTTTGCTGAAACAGTTTTACCATTCAATCATTAATGATACAATATTAGAGTGTCTTACATAATTACAAGGAACATCTTTTCCGCGATCAGCTAAAACCACAAATTTATTGTACATTTTCTGACATTTTCTTCATAAACATCACCATGGTTAGTACACACAACCTGGATCAAATTCATAGTGTTCTCAACCGTGGGCTTTTAAGACGCAGATTCGTTTGAAACATGTTTAATATTGACTTGTATTATGGGCTTTTGGAGTTTATAGAATATTCTTGTTAAACAAATGATCAACTGTAAACTATCTCACTCGGTTTAAAAAATCAATTAAAAATCAATTTATCCTTGAAAAATAGCCATCGATAATACATTCTCGTTATATACCAAAACATGTAAGGGATATTGGATTTACAAGATTGATAAAATGCAAATGATGAAGCCAATGAGGAAAGAGATGATGATGAGAAATTATGACAAGGAAAATGTGACAATTTATTCCATTCCTTTGGAAATGTTTGGGTATATATTTCTTTTCCCCATATGCATTTACATTGGCTAGTGTTATGCTCGCAAAATGGAATATCCCCTACATTTTGTGAATGGTATATTTGGAGGAAATGCAAACAACATGGCTGTCCGAAAATGTTTGAAAACACATAGTCCAACACTGAAAACATGAAAATAAATGTATATTATTTCCATAGTATTTACATTTGGAATAGGAATGTAATAGATTGTTGATATTTGGTCTATATCTGTTTTAGTTAATCATTAAACGAGCCAGCCTTGGGTGCATTTCAACTATATAATGATATATACTCTGACGTGTTTTGCATGAATTCATAATACGCTGATGTAAATCGCAATAAACAAATATGCACTTATCAATGTCTTCCCTCGTCTTCCCAGTATGTGCTAAGGAAGATTCATCCACTCTTCAGTAGGAGCATTGCCGAGGTCCTGTAGAGTTGCAATAAGAACAGGTAGTCGTGAAATTGCGATCTGCTACCTGTTCGGCATGTCTTCGATAAAGCTGAGATCTGTTGACCGGGTGTCCTGTTCAATGCATCTATGACCTTGGCACGATGACGTCGTGTCTTATCGTCTGTGAGGATGGAGTACGGTCTCACTTACACAACCAGAATGTCATCCCTGTAACGTCCTCGAAGGACAAAATTCTCCCAGCTATACAATCCAATGTCAAAACATGATTGAACAACTTCAATAGTTACGATGGGATTCTGGATCTTTTGCTCTTTGTACGGGAACCCCATCTCGTTCTGTCCAACTGACATGATCTCCAGCCTAATCCAAACGTTCCTGCCTGTGAAGTCGAGTCACTGGGATGCAAATGAATGTCCTTCGTGACCGGAGAACAGTCTCACAGACGCTTACGCAGCAGAAACGTTCAATTTCTGCATGTCTCGTGTGAGCATGGTGACAGTCTCAAAGAATTAAAATCCTCATTACCGAATGCTTATCATAACTTGATCCTCAGCAAACGTTGTGTGGCATGTAATATGTTCAAGCTAACGCTTCCAATTGTATTGACATATAAAGCTGTTTATGTGTATGTAAAAACATATAACCAAGTCAATTTCAGTGACCTGACACATGTTATGTTTACGATTTATAGACCGACAGGTAAAGGTTTTTGAAGAAATAAAATATTTGAGTTGAACTCTACATGTGTTCCGAGACTGTGTACTATGAACTCAATTACAAGTGATTGTGTTTGTTAGGATCAATGAACGTTATGTACAATAATATAGTCCAGAAATAATGTTTTAACCATGAACTGACGACGTCCGTGAAGATGTTTTTGATTCATCTTCTGTGGCACTTCCCTTCTTAATAATTATCAACAGTTTTTATCAAAAACAATTGATAAGCATAGCAATACTGATGTTACACAACCCCCTTTTCTCCTTCGTGGGAAAGAACATAAAGAAGACCGGTGCAACATTCTACCGTAATGCCTCGCGCACATTACCCAGTACGTATTGTTCACGGAAAGTAGGGTCGTGAAAAACTTTCAACTCTGAAGAATCATGGTATACTTACACGGCTCAGTGAATATGTTCAGTGCTATTTGATCAGTATTGGACTTTTAACTATGGTGCCAGTAGTGATGTTGCATACATTCAAAAGTTCATACGCCAAGTTTTTATATCACGATCGTTTGTTTGTACAACACAATTTGATTTGGTTCGGGTGACTTCTCGCTTACAGCGTTAGCCACGTAAACATCTCAGCAGTAAGGGAAGAAAATGGTTCACCAACAGAAGAGGTTATGTGAACGTATGTATTTTCAAAATGATATACAGAAACGTATTGTGGTATATACATGGTATAGGCAACTGTGGAGATTACCGAATTTGTCAGTGAACCATTGATCATTTGGACTATCATGTTCTGTGTTTGCTAATAGTTGTGATGTTCATGTCAATATTGTTGTTGAAGATGAATATAATGGTGGTGACGACAATGACAAGGATGGTGATATTGCTGATGTTCAGGTACATATCTCAACTGTAAATAAACTTGTTGAAAATATATTGGTTGGCATGCTTCATGCAGTGGCTCCGAATAATCACACTGGTATGGCAGATGCTAAATTAACAGATATCGAACTTTGTGCGCAAATTACGACATAAGGTTGACGCAGGACGCATCGTCAGTTATGTACTTTGCCATACACAAGCCAAACAGAAACTATGGGGGGAAAATCCGATATAAATTTGAAGAAAACAGAAACGTTATAGGTATTGATAATGGCTCAAACCATGAATTAAACTCAAGAGAAATACTTTTGGGCACACGTGCCAAGAAATTAACTGTAATAGTGTGTTCACAATGAGTATGATAAAATACGTTCTCATCTGGCATAACCCTAAAATCTTTATCAAAAGCCAGTGGTAAAGGATGCAGCGAGACCACCCCTAACCCAAGAGGGTGTATATACAAATTGAAATGTACATTTGGCACGAAAGAGCACAAAACATCAGTGAAGAAATCAGCCTTATCAGAACACATTATCCGGAATCCCAGCCATATGACACTGACATTTCCGTATAGGTCGACCCGTGAAGGTCCGGGTTAGAATGAACCTTCAGTAACCCATGCTTGTCGTACAAGGAGACTAACGGGATCGGGTGGTCAGGCTCGCTGGCTTGGTTGACACATGTCATCGGTTCCCAATTGCGCAAGACGATGCTCATGCTGTTGATCACTAGATTGTCTGGTCCAGACTCGATTATTTACAGACCGCCGCCATATAGCTGGAATATTGCAGAGTGCGGCGTAAAACTAAACTCACTCACTCGTATAAGTCGTATAAAGACCATGAAGCCCTCATCACTACTTGAAGCTATATTCAATCTATTTAATCTTAATAAATCAGACCATACTCTAACAAGTAACGCGTGTTGATTTAAAGTCATTTATATTGAATAAACTTAACTAGCTGGCTCTATATTTCTTCGTAAAATTTGAAATATTTTGTTTTGTGGACGTGTAATACTATATCCGCTGCTGGGTCACAACATTTAAAAATAACCGATAATGTAAATCGTATAAATGCTCTTCTCAATCAAATTGTAATCACTCTAACGAAATACGAAATTATAAGAAATGAATTTCGCAAGGACGCCTTGCACGGTTCAAAGCGTTCGTGCGCCAATAAACCACCGCAAAATCATTTCTTAATTGCATGTTGTAACTAAATCTGAACAATAAAGAAACAACGCGTAAGTATCACACTGTTGCAGTCGTATTCTAGTCTGGAGTCATTAAATTATATGAAATGTGGTAGAGAAAGATCAAGGTATGTGACTTTCTTTCTTTGGAGGATTGCTTAATCCAATAAAGGTATTTATTATAGCCCAATTAGCTCATCTATTGAACATGTTTTGCTGAGCGTATTCGTGAAGACTAGTTCATTGTTGATGGTGAAGATATTGTGATGGTGAACTTGATTACTATCAAAATCAGATAAATACTGACAAACACACTTGTTGTATTGCAAGTCTGGGATAAATGAAACTGGGGTATATTGTGTGGACCCACACCCTCAAATTCGCGGATCAAGCCGTATGTGTATGCTTACTGTTTGTGCAGAAGTTGCAGAAGAATTTGAAGTGACGGTTGACGTTTTCGGACAGGATTATGAAAGCCATCCAATAAATGTTTGATAGGATGTAAATCGACTAGTGGTGATGGTCACGACAGCATAACCATGTACTGGTTCTAAAGAACGTCCATGGTAACACACGTGATGTATTCGTCATTGCTTACTACAGTCCGTTTGAGTCAGAACGGACAGATGAATTGCAAATTTTATCATTGTACAAAATTGCCACATAAATATAAATAGTACACATGTTTATCATTTACTAATACCCAACAGCTTTCTTATATTTGAAAATTGTCCGGACTCCACCAAAAAAGTTGTTTAAGAAACTATCATCATTGAAAACGCAAAAGTTGTTATCTGTAGCGGCGGGGTGAAACCGCAGAAACGAAACAGCCACTATCTCGTCGTGCACGGGATACACATGCCTGATGACAAATGAAGTTGAATGCTGACGTGAAACAGTTGATGATTAAATTGTACGATTTTTTCCGTGCTGACGCCGAAAGGGGCAAACCATTTTATGCCATTAATAAATTCCGTAAGCGGGCAGCAAGAGCTTTAGGAGTATCAGCAAGGGTACTGACAAATGTTCTGGAACACAAACATTGTGAGGGTGATGCGAAGCAGGTAGGGGTCGTGTCAAAATCACACAAATTAAAACATTTGGACAACTTTCAAAAGACCCTTGTAAGGCAGTCTATCAACAAGCTCTATTCTGAAAACAAATACATGTCGCTGAAAATTTTTAAAAAGCATTTGAAGCAAGAACACAACCTCAGAGTATCAAAGTACACACTCTGGCGACTCTTACACTCTTTCGGTATCGTTATAAGAAAAGTTCGGGGGAGAATAGGTCAGTACTCTGTGAATGCCTCGCACACTGCCAGCAGTCAGTGGGTACCCGGTGGGGGTGATAAGGGGTCACGTAGAAATCTGCCTCTAGGGAAAGGAGAGAGACTAATCATTCTCCATGCTGGTTGCTCCAGCAAAGGCTTTCTCTCAGGGCAAAGCCCACAGATAACAGAGACTACCATTCCGAGATGAACGGTGCGGTTTTCCTCGATTGGGTTAAAAACAAGTTGGTACCAGCTCTACCAGAGAAGTCTTTTATGGTAATGGACAATGCCCCATACCACAACGTGCAGGACCCCGACAGTAAAGCCCCGACATCGAACAGTCGAAAAGGTGATATGATATCATGGCTCGACAAATTGCAGATCGCACGGCCTTCAAAGGCAACGAAGCCTCAGCTATATGAGATCATAAAAACCCACAAAGGTGAACCTTTCTACAAAGTTGACAGTTACATAAAAAGTAAGGGTCACGATATTCTGCGACTTCCACCCTATCACTGTGACCTTAACCCCATTGAAATGATATGGGGTATTGTCAAAGGAGATGTTGCCAGATCAAACACAACTTTTAGATTACGTGACGTAGAGGTTTTTGGTTAAGGAATCCCTTAACAAAATCACGACTGAAACTTGGCAAAACTGTGTCAACAAGGTAGCTAACGTCATTACAACAAGGTTACTGGTCTCGGGATGGCTTACAACAGGCAACTGTGGCACCACTTGTCATCCCTTTAAGTCGTGACTATGACACTACGACAGACGAAGAACCGACAGGTCTCCCGGAATAGATTTTGAGATCGGACCCTTAGTAGGAGGCGATATGAAAATGATAAAATATATCTTATGCTTAAAATCTGGCTGCTATAGTATAATTTAAATGGCGTAGAACTTACAT